TATGTAATGCAGATTTACATGACTCCAGCAATACTAGTGCAATCAAGTGGTCTCGTAAGGTTTTATGAAGAAACCAATATTGATTTTCACGTCGGATTAATGGCATACTAAAGCGCAACAAGGATTTCTTAATATCTTCATCACCTAAAAATTTTTTCCAATTTATGTCACGTGTTATAACCACCTTATTATCATCCGTAAACATTTTAATAGCGAATTCCTTACTAAATTGTAGGCAAGATTCTGAAAAGTCATCACTATCTAATTTTCTAAATATGTTCCTTTCTTCAACTGTCATTTGAATTTTATGCAGACGTTCTTGTGCACGATCAAACCATGTTTTTAAAAATTCATCATATAAAATTATACGATTTATTCGAGTCATCCGTTCATGTTCTATAATGCGTGGTAAGATACTTAAGGAAATCTTTAATAGAATTGGATTGCAAACTAACTCTTCTGGTATCTTTTTTATTTGATGTAAGCATATGTCTTCGCTCAAATTTAACAAATGACCTTTTTTCTGAGCATATTTTATGATATATTGGTTTACTTCATTCTCAGAAAATGTCTTAATTGTCAATTCCTGAAATCCCTTTTCTCTATTGTTGGGAAAGAATCTCTTTTGGTAACCTGAGCCTAAGTATTCTGGTCGACAACTTATAATAATTTTTGCATTTCTCCATTTACAAAATTTATTTTGAATGTAGCAATGACGTTCACGTTCAACAATCTCATCATAACCATCTAAAATAAATATAAACTTTATTTCTCGTAAAACATTAATTTTATCTAGAGATAATTTGCATTCTTCTTTTAAATAAAGTTCAATAAAATCTTCATTTCTATTAAAAATTCCTTCTTTTAGACGCGTTAATGGTATAAATAAAGGAATAGGTGATTGCAATATTTTCAACTGGTCATATTCTTGCCATAGGCGACGAGTAAGATAGCGGCCAAAAGTCGATTTACCCGTACCCCCCAGACCCAATATCAATAGTACTTTTTTACATTTTGAAGCCACTATTTCATTAACAGTAATTTCCAAATTTTTCTTGGCTTTAGATGCTTTAGAAGATAGAAACTTATTTACTGCACTTTCAAAAATACTTTTATCATTTAAGTTTGAAGATTTATTTAATTCTGTCTCTAGAAATTTTACATCCTCATCCTCAATGGTTATCGGATTTTCCTTCAAAACATTATTGATTACTTCTATTAGTAATTGTTTTTTAATTATTGAAGTATGCAAAAATTTATTGGCTATTTTTTCCTGAAGCTCTAGTGCCTTATTAACTTTTAAATCCAAAAATTGTTTGACTACTTTTTTCAGGACACTTTCATCTTCCAAAGTTAATTTATTTTCAGGAGCAAAAAAGCTATTAACTGCCTTAATTATAGAAGTTATATCCTTTGAATTCGAAAGTTTATTAACAGCTACCTCTAAAGCTTCTTTATCATTTGCGGTCAGTTTATCTTTTGATTCTAAAAATCTATTGACTACTTTTTCTACATCACCCTCTCTGCATTCAAACCCCATTTTTTTTCCAGAATCTGATGATTTTATAATCGGTACATACCATATTCCTTGTGGTTTGACATACAGTTCTAAGGCTTCTTTAAATTCTTCATCTGCATCTGAAAAGAATTGGTCTTTTAATCCACTTAATAAATCTTTTCTACTTTTTTTCAAGTCATGCTGCTGAGTGATTTGCATAGACTTTATTGCCTGCATAATTGGTAAGACTTCGTTTAGTAGTGTTGTTGGAAACAATGAAGTAGAAGCTTGTCCACATTTTGATAAAGACATTGATCTTATACGTTTCAAGATCCATTTATTTAGCTCTGGATGGGTTCCCCAAAAGTCTTTGTCCTGACAAATATTATTTAAAAAGTTCATAGCACCTTTGCGAATATCATTATCCAGTTCGGAATCTGCTACCACTCGTTCAAGTCTCTCACATAGGCCCCACAAAAATTCATTATTTTGACGAAATGGAATTTTGTAAATAGACTGCTCCAAACTTGCGAATTTATGACTTTGAATAAATAAATCGGTAAATCTTAATGCTCGATACCATTTACGTTTGACCTCACAACTGATTCCCTGTTTTATATCGCCAATACCCTCGTTTGCTGATTGAATCTCTCTAACCAAATCTATTGTTATATTTATAATGCTTTCAAGCC